CTGTATCCTCACCTACTCCCATCCCCCTCCCTTTCTTTATCTGGGTATTCACACTAATAGAGGCTGGCAGATTTCCATTTTCCAATCCCTAATACAGTCTTACTACTTGCCTTTTTCTGAACAATAGGATGACCACCCTTCTGAGTCCAGCTGCTCTAATTGCATCCACAGGCTAAGCATCCCTGGGTTATAATTATTTCTGATGCCAGTAACAGAAAGCCTAATTCAAACTACCTTAAACAATAAAGCAATTGATTAGTTCACAAAACAGAAATCCCAAAGGAGGTGGACTCAAAGATTGGTTAATTAAGTGGTTCAATACATGTCAAAGGGCCAGTTGCTATTAATCTGTGCTGTTGTAAACATGATAAATTCCTACTAAAATGAGTTTCCACCTGACTATGAGGAGCAACCAGAGCCACGCACTTCCCTTTTCCCTCAGAAACTTCTCGATTTTGTATTTTGTTTGTTTTGAGACAGATCTGCAGCTGCACCGTGCCTCCTGATCAGTAATTGCTTAGGAAATGCTCAGGTGGCATAAGCCTGATTTCCAGAAAGGAATCGAGCAGGAGGCATCATAATTGTAAGTGGTTTCCAAAGTGGTAATGTTTCTTCCTTGAGTTCATGGCCAACATTGGGAGGGAGAGAGTAAGAAATTAAAATATCTAGGCATCTGATATAGTCATTTTCCTTTTACTTTATTGTCCATTCTTTTTTAAAACTACATTTGGAAAAAAATCAGCCAGCCCGTTTCAAAAGGAGGCCCCAAACAAAGCATATCCCATTGTGATGGAAGTACCTCCAGCAGCTCTCTTAAGGCAACAGTGTCCGTGAGCACATTGGTGAGAGGCAGCTTCTGAAGCTGAACAGCCCTTGGGTGTCTCCTGAGAAACAAGGAAGCAATCTGAGACTCAGAGCCAAGGCAAAAGCTCAATGAGCCCCAACAAGAATGTTTTGTGTAAGTTCAGGACCTTTCATGGTGCTTTGTTCAGGCATGATTTCTTGCCATATAGTCCTGGCAGGTAAGAAATGGCTGTTCTCCCCACGGGTGTCCTGCCTCTGCAAAACAGATACAAAGTGCAGTCAAACGATTCTTCAAATCCAGTATACCAGAAGCTATGGAGAGAGGAAACAGCCAGCTGAGGAGTCACGGATCACCTTGTCCAATTCCAGTGCCAATTTCAGTGTACCTTAGGGGATGAGCCACAAACACTAAGCCCAAGTTTTTCTTCAAACACAATGTTTTTCTAGAAAATATGTCCTTTTAACATAAACAGTTCAAATCCTATATGCCTAACTCCAAATATAAGCCTGTAACTTCTGAAGGGCTTTGGATCCCTGTGTAAAAACGAATAAATATAATTACTGGGCTGTTGTGGAGAACTAAAGGCATATAGCAAGAACTTCATAGATTGTCTTACTAGTCATACAAAAAGATAGCTAGATTCCTTGAGTTTTATGGGAAGCTGTGAGCTGGTCCTCCCAACTCAGAGTTGTTTCTCAGAATTAAGAACTTGAGGAAAAAGGAATCCAGAAGGGGACAACGAGGTATTGGGGTAGGGGATCAGCCAAACTTGTCCCAGCTCTGGAAATGTCACCACCACCCATCTTCATTCTTTCAAGAAGCATGTATTACAAATAAAAACAGAACAAAGAACAAGCTGCAGTAAAGTCTTCCTCTTTAGGAATTTTTCATTGCAAGATCAGGAACAAAACATTGCTCTCCCAGCAGAATCTCTGCAGCACAATTTGCTGAGGGATTCAGTCATATCACTTTCAAGATCTATTACCTAATCGATAGGTTGTTTCCTCTGGTCAACTGTCTACTTGCTTAGCACCTCGAAACTTTATCCACCATATCAATCCCAAGGCTGGGACAATCTTTCCTTACATTATCATCCGCTGCAGAAATAAACTAAGATGGGACCCATTCCCACTCCTAGAATAAAATACCTTTGACTAGATAATCTCTAAACCACAGAAATGTGTTGCTTTCTTTTCTGGCTGAGAAGTCCAAGACCAAAGTGCCCACATGTTGGGAGTCTAGAGAGGGCTTGTTTTGTCCATTTCAATGATGGAGCCTTCTTTCTGCCTCCATATAAAACCAAAGAAAACCTGAACACATTATTCACACTTGACCTGTTCTATATACTCTCAATTCCAGACCAAACCCTCCAGACTTAAGCCACTTCACATACTTAACTGGTTTTAAAAATCACCAGTTTCAGAGTTGACATTTAGGTCACTGTCATTGTTAAAGTTTGGTCACAAATGCCTAAACCACCAATTATTTCCCAGCCCTTAATCTCTTTTCTCCATATCCCAGTCCATAAATATCCCAGTCCTAAACCCTGTCTTCTCCATGATGATTATGATCTTTACTGTCAGCTTGACTAGATTGAGAAATGCCTGGAGAATTAGTGAGGCAATTCTCAATGTGATGATGTTTCCAGAGTAGATCAGGAGAACTCTGACCTAACAAATGGAATAATCCCTTGATGATTCACAGTCTATCATGGCTTTATCAGTAGGGGATGAAAAGTAAGAAATGGAGCCTAGTTGGAGGAAGTAGGTCACTGGGAACATGTCCTTGCATGCTGTCTTTCTCTGGCCTCTTCCTGTACCCTCTTTTCTCTGCTTCCAGACTGTCACAATGTGAGCTGCCAGATCTGCTTCCTGGGGACCAAAGTGTAAAGTGCACCATCCATAGTATGTACTCACTCATAAGTGAATGCCGGACATAAAGCAAACGATACTCAGTCTACAATGCACAACTCCAGAGAAGCTAGAACCCTCTTCCAGAAACAGATGGAAGCAGATGCAGAAATCCACAACTAACTGTTGGGCTGAGCTCCTGGAGAACAATTGAAGTGAGGGAGGAGTGATGATGTGAACCAAGGAGTCAAGACCATGATAGGGAAAAACACAGAATCAGCTGACCCGGGCTAGCAAGAGATCACTGACTCAGGTCTGACAACTGGGGAACCTGTATAAGACCAAACTAGACTCCCTGAATATAGGTGACAATTGTGTGGCTGGGGTAATATATTAGGTCCAGGATCTAACTCCAATGCACAAACTGACTTAGTGTAGCCTATTCCATATGGAGAGATCTAGACATGGGGGATGAGGATGGGATAGGGAGGTGCCTTGGTCCTGCCTCAAGATGATGGGACAGACTTAATAGATTTCCTAGTGGAGGTCTTACCCTCTCCAAGGAGCAGATGGGAGGTGAGGTGGGTGAGAGTGGAGGGGAGGAGCCAGAGGAGAGGAGAGAGGGGGAACTGGGATTGGAATGTAAAAAATTAGATTAATAAATTTAAAGAAATTTTAAGTGCTCCATCCACCATGCCAACCCTACTATGATACACTGGCGGCTCTGGAATCCTGAGTCAAAAGCAACAGTCCCTCCTGCGAGTTGTTTGTATCACTGTGGTCACTAACATATAAAATTTGCCCATCTTCACACACCTCTAGAACCGTCTCTCTTTGACAAAACTCACTGGGCAATGGGTTTATTTTGAGTCAGGCAGAACAGGACCTGGTTCCAAAACATACACTCAGAAGAAGAGACAAATAGAACCTGTCACATTTCTTTTATAAAGACACTAATCCCATTCATGAAGGCAGAGCCCTTGTGACCTGATCACCTCCTAAAGGCCACACCTCTTAATACTTGGGTTGGAAGCCAAGTTTCAACACACAAATTTTGAAAATACACCAGCATTAAGATGACCATGGAGCCAGGCATTCATTGGTGGCACATGCCTTTAATCTCAGCACTCAGGAGATAGAGGCAGGTGGATCTCTGTGAATTTGAGGCCACCCTGGTCTACACAGCTAGTTCCAGGACAGGATTTAAAGCAATGCAAAGAACCCTGTCTCAAAAAACAAACAAACAAACAAAAAAGATCACAGCCCTCAAATCTGCTAGGCCCCTGGAAGCCCTCAGTCCTTTCAAATGTCTCTCTGCTATTATTGGGCCTTCTGTCTGGGACCACTCATTAGTCATTAGGTGACTAATACAGGTTAGTTAGGTTGTTTTTTTTTTTTTTTTACAACAACTTATATAAAAATCAGCTCCATATATGCCCAAAACATCTTCAGAATGCCCTACTCTCCTACAGTAATATTTTAGGGGTGTTATGTCCCAAGCTCTAATGCTACCAAAGCCTATTCTTCATTCAGATGTAATCCTAGGGCTGGAGAGGCTAAGGCAGAATGATTTTGAATCTGAGCCAGACTGACTTAAATAGTGAGTTCCAAGCCAGAATGGATTACACAGCAAGACTCAATTTTAAACATTAAAAATAAATAAAAGACATTAGAAAAACAACTGATGCAGTGGAAGTGTGGGGAAGGGATGAAAAGATGAGTCCATGCAGAGGGAACACATCTAGCAACAAGCAACCTGCCTGCCTCCTTAAGGATGGGAATAAAGAGAAGGCGAGGGCTAATTCATACAGAGATTAAAAAAAAAAAAAAAAATCCACCATTGGAGTCTGGGTCCTTAAAGAAATAAAGGATAGCTCTGGAGAATTGCAAGTTTGAGATCTGTCTGGTTTACAGAGTGAGTTCAAGGCCAATCTAGGCGATTTATGAGACATCGAACATCGGCCCAATCTTCAGTTATCACGATGGGGAGAAAAAGAAAGGGATGCCAGAAAGTGGTATTTGAGAACCAATGTCACGAACAGATTTACCTTCCTCGGGCTTCAGAGCAGCACCGGTCCTGGGGCTTTGCCCACCAACTTCACCCCAGCAACGGGGCCAGGCACCCTGTGAAGATGGCTCTTAGCAACGTTTGTTGTAGGGCGTTGCTCACAGGGTGGGACTTGGTGATGTCTGGGGTACAGGCTGAGAAAAGCTGTGCAGAGAACAAAGAAAGCATCAGAGTAGACAGCCACACCGGTAGGGTCAAGAACGCAGGGTGGCAGGTGGCAGGTGGCAGCCTGTATGTACCTTTCCACACACATGCTTCCAGAGCTTCCAGTCCTCAAATTGGCTGCAGGAGCAAGGCTGTGTAATCTAGAGTCAGACCCAACACGTGGCTTTGCAAAGTGGTCCATAGGAAACAATTGCACAGGTGAGAACATAGCCCAGATTGCTGGACAGAGAAGACAGCTTGAAGCCATCCACCTACGGTGGCCATGCCCACACCTCAGTAGCATCTGACCCTGGGGCCAGCCTCCCTGCGGTTTTATGAGTTACCCAGCAGGTTCCAGCGGTGGATATTAATGCTTTGACCATCCCTCCCCACAACCTCTCCACCCGCACCGATTAACAACACTTCTTCTTCTGGTCCCCTTCCTTTTTCCAACTGGTCTCTGCTTTCACGATTTGTATTTTGGTGTGTTTTGCTTTGGGGTTTTGATTGTTTGTTTGTTTGTTTTAATTTAGATTCAGCATGTAACAGCTGTCTTTCAGGGTGTGGTTCCTGTGCCTCAGCGAGTTGATTTTCAGTTCTATCCATTGTCCAATAACATCATAATTGCATTCTTCTTCATGGACAAATAATACTCCACTGTGTTTATATAGACTTCATTTTCTTTATCCATTTACATGTTGATAGGCACTTAGGATTGCCCCCACTTATTGGCTATTGTACAAAGTGCCCAAATAAACATGGGTGTATAGATATGTCTAACATATGCTGAGTTAGAGTCGTCCAGGTACATAATTAGTCCTATTGCTACATAGTTTTTGGTTTGTTTGATTTTTGTTGTTTTGTTTTTGAGGCCCTGACATGCTGTCCCCCCCCCCACACACACACACAACTACATGGTATCTCTTTGACCCTGCCTTCCATCTCTCTATATCTTTCATTTGGAATTTCCACCTAGGTATATTCTGCATGGTCATTGGCTGAAACAGCTTTATTCATCAACCAATAAAGGCAACACATATACATAGCATACAGAAGGACATCCCACATCAGTTCCCTCTCTCTCCTCCTTCCCCCTCCCTTCCCTCCCCTTCTCTCCCCTCCTTTTCATCCCTCTCTCCGATAGTCTCAGTCTATAGCCTGACTGACTAGCACTAATCATAAAGTTGTTCATCACCATGCCTGGTCCTATTAAACACTTTTTAGCTCTTGTCTTTTGACAATTGTCTAGTTTCCTCCCTTATTGGTTGGATTATTTGTTCTTTTAGACTTTTTTAAATTGAAACCGTAATATATTCTGGATATTAAGCCTGTGTTGGGTGAAGCTCTGCAAACATTCTCGCCCAGTCTATATGTCTGTATTTCCCCTGCTGCGTCATTTGCTATGCAGAGCCTTTTAATATCACAAAATTCATTTTTCACAATTCTTTTTAAAACTTTTGCTTAGATTTATTTATTTTATGTGTGTGAATCTTTTGCCTGTACATATGTTTGCACATGTATGTGCATGTCTGATGCCTACAGAAATCAGAAGAGAGTATCGGACGGTTGTGAGCCACCATGTGGGTGCTGGGAATCAAATATGGGTCCTCTACAAGAGCAGGAAATGTTCTTAACTGCCTTCTGAGTGGTGGGATTTCAGACACTCAGGGTATGTGTCTTCTTTCTTGAGTTTATCAATGAGCCACTACATGGTCAAGACTGTACTTATGATAGTCAGATTTGTTAGCTCATGCCTGTAATCCCAACATGTAGAAACTGAGTCAGGAGGAATGCTACATAGTCAGTTCTAGGGCAGCCATGGCTGCCTAGGACAGTATCCTTTGAAAACAGGTTCCAATACACAAGGGCTTGAAGAGCTGAGGGCTGACATTTATAGGGAAAGTACATTGCTTTGAAAAATAAAGAACACAGCCCGCTGCTGACCTCAGAGAACCACAGACTCATGGCTTTCTTTAATGACGTGTAAACCTGTGTGTTGGGGTGTGTATTATTTGTGTGTGGAGGTCAGAGGACAACTTTGTGGAGTCATTTCTTTCCTTGCACACTTATGTGGGTTGCAGGGGTCAAACTTCTATCATCAGTCTTGCAAAGTAAGTTGAAAGCAGCCTGGAATACACAGCACCCTGTCCAGAAAATAAATAAATAAATAAATAAATAAATAAATAAATAAATCTGATATTTTCATCTTGAAAGGATTAATAGTCTGTTCATTACTGCTTTAGCCCATTTTAATGGCTTCATTTTTATTTCCTTTGCCCTCTTTGTAGCCTGGAGAAAATGACAGATGTTGTAGCTATTTGGGATGTTATTTTAAGTGATGGAGTCCACAAGATTGAATTTGAACATGGGACCATATCGGGAAAACGAGTTGTATATGTGGATGGGAAGGTAGGAAAACATAACATGACTTTGTAGAATATGCTACAGAGAAGCTCACATCCCTTCCACCCTCCTTTTCTCCCTCTCTCCCTCCCTCTCTCTCTCTCTGAAACAAGGTCTCTCTATGGCTGTCCCATAACTTCCTATATAGACATGACTAGTCTAGACCTCATAGAGAGCCTCCTGTCTCTGCCTCCCCAATGTTAGGATTAAAAGCATCTGAGACCACACCAGCTTGCTCTCTTAAGCATCTGTTTGTGTGTCTGTCTGTTTGCCTATCTTTATGTATAAGGGTGTTTTGCCTGCATGCATGCAGGTGTACCACATGTGTGCCTGGGGTCCTCTGAGGACAGAAGAGGGTATCAAATCCCTTGAGCCTGCAGTTACTGATAGTAGTGAGCCACCATGCGGGCCTGGGTATTGAACCTGGGTCCTCCAGAAGAGCAGCAAGTACTCTTGACCACTGAGCCATGCCTCCAGCCCTTTATCAGTGTAGCTTCTTTACACATAAAGTCAGGGCTTTGTTCTCACAATGGTTGTTTTTTAACCTGTTTATTTTTCTGTATAAAGCAATCTAGTGGTAGTTACAGAAGAATAATTACATACAAGAGTATGAAATCTGGTATTTAAACTTAAAATTACTTTTTATTTTCAGACAGGGTCTATGTAGCCCTGGTTGGCCTGGAATTCACTATGTATACAGGCTGGCCCCAAAGTCACAGAGATCTACCTTCATCTGCCTCCCAAGTACTGGGATTAAAGTTATGTGCCACCGCATACAGGAAAATGATTTTTAAGAAAAACCTTGATATTATGAATTCACAAGTCCAAAGCATTGGCTTTTAAACACTGTCTTAGTGTTTTATTGTTGCGAAGAGGCATCATGAGCAAGGCAACTCATAAAAGGAAGTGTTTAGGGATTGCTTTCAATTTCATAGGTTTAGTCTGTTGTCAACACAGGCAGGAACCATGGCAGGCATGGTGCTCGAGGAGTAGCTGAGAGTTCTACATCCTGATCCACAGGCAGCAGGAGGAAAGAGAGAGACAGCCACTGGGCCTGGCATGGGCTTCTGAAACCTCAAAGCCCACCCCCAGCCCCACACTTCCTCCAACAAGGCCACACCTCCTAATCCTTATAATCTTTTCAAATAGTACCACTCCCTCATGACCAAACTTGGAAATATATGAGCCTATAGGGGCCATTCTTATTCAAACCACCACAATCAGACAGGCGGTGGTGGTGCACGCCTTTAACCCCAGCACTCGGGAGGCAGAGGCAAGTGGATCTCAGTGAGTTAGAAGCCCGGACTGTCCCATAGAGAAACTGTCTTTAAAAAACAAACAAACATTCCGTAATCACCTTGAAGTTTTTAATCATTTCTTAAGTGTTAAATATTAAAATTCCCTCCATTTGTAAATTTTAACCTATACTATTTTATCATCTAGGAAGAGATAAGGAAAGAGTGGATGTTCAAGTTAGTGGGCAAAGAAACCTTCTGCGTTGGAGCAGGAAAAACCAAAGCCACCATACGTATACTTTCTGGCAAAGGTTATATTTTTAAATATATCCTGGAAATCGAGGGGAAAAGCTTCAGGAAATATGTGGAGAACAGATCAAAGACCACCAACACCTGGGTACTGCACTTGGATGGCAAGAACTTTAGAATTGTTTTGGGTGAGTCAAGGCTGTTTCTGAGGAATGGGCTTTTTTTTTTTTAAGATCTATTTATTTATTATGCATACAGTATTCTGTATGTATCCCTGTACACCAGAAGGGGGCAACAGATCTCATTACAGATGGTTGTGAGCCATCATATGGTTGCTGGGAATTGAACTCAGGATCTCTGGAAAACAGCTATTGCTCTTAACCTCTAAGCCATTTCTCCAGCCCCAGATTTTTTTAAATTAAAAATTCATAAAATATATCCTTTAGTATATTCTGATCGTGATTTCCCCTCCCCATCTTCTCCCAGATCCCCCCCACCTCCCTACCCACCCAACTCCTTGCTTTCTTTATCTCTTTAGAAAAGCAAACAAAGCAGAATTTAAAAATTGGAAAAAAAATCACAAGAAACACACACAGACAAAATCAATAAAAACTCAAAATTGGAAACCATAATATATTAGCAAAAAACAAAACAAAACAAATACTAATACTAATACTAAAAAAAAAAACAAAACAAAAACAAAAAAACAGAAAGCAATATGAGACAATGTGTGTGTTTTGTGTTGGTCACCTACTGCTGGGTGTGAGGCCTATCCATTAGTGTGGTTTATATAGCCACTGAGACTCCATTGAGAGAAAATTGGTTTTGTTTCTTCGCAAGCAGTTGTCCGTTGGAAATCACTTCCTGTTTAGGGATGGAAGATTGTGTTCACTCCCTGATCTCAGCTCTGTAACCCCATCTGGCTTGAACCTGTGCAAGCCATATTAGAGTTTTATAGTGGCTATTTAATTGTTCCCTCCATAGAGTTAAGTGGGGGATTTGACTAGGAGAAAAGAATACAAGAGCCATGTTTTTCTCACGTACCCATGTGAGCAGGTCATCATTCAATGTTCAATCAACCCTCAAGGTTTTTGTTTTGTTTGTCAGGAGGATATTTTTACATAACATGTGAAGAATTTTATTTCTCTCATTACTTAACAAGGAAAGATGTTAAGGGCCAGTTCAAAGGAGAATGTCAAAACAAAATACAGAGCTGAAGATGTAGGCTGGAGGTACAGCACCTGCAAAGCATGTGCAAGGCCCTGGGTTTGATCCCCAGTTCCAAGGTGAAAGCAAAAGCAAAAACACCCCCAAAAAACAAGCAAACTCCAACAAAAACCAGAGCAAAACTCAACAAAAGCACACACGCAGTAATACTTACATACATATGTACACATGCAAGTATATTTGTACATATATGCTTGGGTACTCAAAAATGCTGAAATGGATATGCAAATAAATGGGAAACTATTGGGTGTCAACAGAGATGTAACCCACTTGCAGGTGAGATGCGTTTGCATTTCTGGGGACAAGAGCTGGTTTCTGCACTATCATTATCATACAGTTGTGAGCCATCTCAAAGCTACAAGGGGAAGGCAGCAGTAAAGGGGGACTAGCACAGAACAGCGGGAACTGGGACTAGAGCGTGGCTTAGCAGTTAAGAGCACACGCTGCTCTCTCGGAGCTCAGATCCCAGCACCCACATCTGGTGACCCACAACCACCTGTACTTCCAACTCTGGGATACACCATCCTCTTCTGGCTTCCTAGGGTGCTTGCACTCGTGTGTACATACTCACAAACAAATGCACACAAACATGCATAATGAAAGACATTTTTTAATCTTTTAAAAAAAAATAACAACTAGGCATGGTGGTGCACTTTTAACCCCAGCACTCGGGAGGCAGAAGTAAGAGGTTCTCTGTGAGTTCAAAGCCAGCTTGGTCTACACAGTGGGTCCCAGGACACCCAGGGCCTGTCTCAAGAAATGAAACCAAAGTTTTAAAAGTTATCGAAAGTTATTAATAAAGTAAGCTTTTTTTTTGTAGGTGATGGGTATATGGCTTCATTAGTTGAAAACCATAAATTACAGCTAAGGGAGATTTTTCTTTATTATTTATTTATTTATTTATTTATTTATTATGTATACAATATTCTCCCTGCATGTGTCCCTTTAGGCCAGAAGAAAACCTCTGGAAGACCAGGCAGTATTCTTAACCACTGAGCCATCTCTCCAGCCCTAAAGGAGATTATATATATATATATATATATATATATATATATATATATATACATACATATATATATATATCCTTATTTCTGTGTGTTTACAAACTGTGACCCAAAGACACGTGAAGAAGACAGTCTGTCACAGACATGGCCACGGGCCAGGCTGACCTAGGAAATTCTTTAACTGAGGCTCCTGCAGATGACTATAGGTTGTGTGAACTTGTCAGCTGCTGCTAACTAGGACAAATGCATATATGTCATCTATATTGTATGCATGTGCACATTGTGTGTGCGCACTCTACGGTGCCGTGTAGAGGTCGGAGGAGCACCTCAAGTGTTGGGTCTGGCCTTCCACCTTGTTTGAAACACGGTCTCTTTATTGGTTGCTACTGATACAGCAGGCTAGCCACTCCACGAGCTTTCGGGTATTCTCCTGGCTCTGTCTCCCATCTCACCACAGAAGGATGGAAACTCCTGTTCTCATGTTTGCCTGCCGATTGTCTGGCCCACTGATCCATCTCTCCTACCCAGTAGGTTTTTTTGTTTTGTTTTCTAAACTAGACTCCTCACTTCTAGGTAGTAGTGGGCTTACTACTTCATGTTCCCATTGCTAAATAAAAATTATTACAATCATGTGAATCCTCTGGCTCATTTATTTAGATAATATACATTAACTATCTCAAAAATAGCACTTAGTGTACCAGAACCAAGTAATGAGAATACATAAATGCCCAAGCCTTTCCATTCTATTGTTAAATTGAATGCTAACAAATTTCTTTTATTGGTTGGTTTTTAAAACACTTTTAGATTAGCATACAAAATATTAGACATCATTGTGGCTTTTTGTTTGTTTGTTTGGTTTGGTTTGTTTTTTTTTTTTTTTTTGTTTGTTTTTTTTTTTTTGAGGCAAGGTTTCTCTGGGTAGCAGGCCTGGCTGTCCTGGAACTCACTTTGTAGACCAGGCTGGTTTGAACTCACAGAGCTCTGCCTGCCTCTGCCTCCCCAATGTTGGGATTAAAAGTGTGTGCATCTACCACCTGACTGAAGAAAGTGTCTTTTTAAAAATCTTGTTTATTCATTTTTATTTTACGTTTATGTGTGATTGTCTATATGTATGTGTGTGTGCTACTCGCATGCCTGGTGCCTGTTGAGACCAGAAAAGGGCACCAGATCTCCTGGAACTAGAGTTATAAGCACCCATGTGAGTGCCGGGAAATAAAGCTGGCTCCTCTACAATAGCAGCAAGTATTCTTAACTTCTCTTCAGTGCCCCACCGCTACCCCTTTGAGGCAGGGGACCACTGTATAGTCCTGACTGACTTCAAACTCAGAGAGACTTTAAACATTCAGACCGGTCTCTGCCTCCCAAGTGCTGGGATTAAAGGCATGCATTGACAAAGCAGCCTTTTTTTCTTTTTTCTTTTGTGAGAAATGTTTATTGAGCCAGGAATGTTAGCTCGTGCTTATAATCATACTACTCAAGAGGTTGAAGTGGAAGTATTGGCTGCAACTTTGAGCTCAGCTTGATCTACATAGTGAGCTCCAGGACAGAGTAAAGGGAGGGAAGGGAAAGTAATGGAAGCAGAGGGGAGGAGAGGAAAGGAGGGAAGGGAAGGGAAGGGGAGGAGAGGAGAGGATGCCCCAGAAATGTAGTTCATTTGATAGAGTGCTTGCCTAGAATTCAGGAAGCCCTGAACTCTACCTCAACACACACAATAAACTGGTTTATTATGGCACATGGCTGTAATCTTAGAGAGGTAGAGACAAGAGGATCTGAATTTTAAAGTCATCATCCACCCCTTGCCTGCTGTGCGCTGGAGTTACAGGCATGTACCATCATGCCCAGGTTTTTCTTTTTCTTATTTGGGGCAGATAATTCGGAGAAGGGGGACCTGGCACCCTCTTCTGGCCTCTATTGGCACACAAGTGGTACACAGACATGTATGCAAGCAGAACACCCTTACACATACAAATTAAAACAGTTACAGAAAGTTTACTTTGAATGCAGAATTGTAACGTTTCAATGTTATTACTTTTACAGAAAAGAACACTATGGACGTGTGGTGCAATGGTAAAATAATAGAGTCAGCGGTAAGTGAGCCTTTATTCCTGGTGCGCGTGTATGAGTGACCAAATGTTACTTCATTTCCTCATTCTACTACATAACTTTCCCTGTGTAGCCTAGGCTGACCTCAAACTCATCCTCTTGACTCAGCCTACTCAACACTGGAGTTGGAAGTGGGAACCACCACAACCGAAGTTCTAATTCTGGTACTTATATAATTAATGGAGGTAATCCTAGTAAAACCAAAAAGTTGTCTTTTCCCCCAAATTCTCGAAGTCTTTGCCAGAGAGTCCTTGGGGCACCTGGAGATCATCTGCAGTCTGAGCAGGCACAGCTACACACTCCACCTTGCCTCCCCTGGCTAGACTTTGATCCTGAGGTGTGTTCACATTTAAAAGTTCCTTCCCGGAGAATGGCTGTCCTCCTGGGTTTGTTCCTCTAGAAATCAAGTATAGCAGTCCCCTAGGAGTTGACGATATGCAAATTCTAGCTTTCAACCCTCTGTGCTGCCAATGCTGCTGACCCCAGATCACACTTGGGCAGGAAGGCTTCACACATATCCTCAAAACCGCAGTACTTTCCTAAAAATGAATGAGGAGTTTTTTGTTTGTTTGTTTGTTTGTTTTTAAAGAAGTAGTGATGTACTCTGTGTCAGATGACATGAAGGTAAACAACAAAGGGCACAAAAGCCCTAAGACAAGTGGAATTAGTAGACCAATATTGTCAAGGTAGGAGGGAAGACGCTCCCCACACACGGAGGCCAAGCATCCTACAAAAGCGTTGCAGGCTCCAATGTACTCAGCGGTGCTCCCAGGGGCTGGGATCTGTTGTCTTGGAGGGAGATGAATATAGGAGTGAATTTCAAGCAGAAATGAATTAACATGGTCGCACAGGGAATGCGGGACCAGGAGCTGAAGCCACTGGGAAGAAACCCCGTGTCTTGAGGTCTTCTGGCCACGCAGGAAGTGTCCCTGCTGCCCATGTTTGTGCTCTAAGGAGGAAGGCCCACGTTGGCAATGATGAGCAGCTATCTGCTCTGCTCACCTTCTCTCTCGTTGCATGGTGTAGTTGCCCCACTACAGGTGTAAGAAGATGAGTTAAGGCGCTGGAAGGAGGGGTTATTTTGGGGGGAAATACTCAGTTGATCACCTTGAATCTACTTGATCTCTTAACTGTCTGTCTGGGGAGGTAGGAATCCACAGTCACAAAGGTGGGTGCTTTCTCACTTGGGGGAGGCAGGATTCGAGACAGGGTTTCTCTGTAGCTTTGGAGCCTGCTGTGGAACTCTCTCTCTCTCTCTGTAAACCAGGCTGGCCTCAAACTCATAGAGATCTACGTGCCTGTGCCTCTGCCTCCCAAGTGCTGGAATTAAAGTTGGGCGCCACCGCTGCCCTGTGCATTTTCATTTCTTAAACCTGACAGATGTAACCTGGTCTCTCCGGCTTTGTCTCTGAGAGACATTCCCTGGAATAAATCTGCTGAGAGAATCTTGTTCATGCAGAGGTCCAGGGAGCTCTCCAGGCCGTATGGCCCCTATAGAAGAGCGGCCATAATTATGCATGTGGTCAGGTATCTACTGTATGCTAACTACACCACGTGGTCCTTCTTCTCCTCTCCATGCCTCCCCTGGGAGTCTCTAGGTAGTCAGCACTTTGCAACCACATTTCCTCCACTCTCAAGGATTCTCTAGCACAACTGAAAAAGAAGGCTGTTTTGTGGCATTAAAAATGTGTTGTTAAGGCTGGGCCTGCAATGCTTGAGTACAGCGCTCACCTAACACGTGTAAGCTTCAGGGTTCCATACCTCCCACTGAGGGAAAAGCAGTTTTAAATAAGGTAAAAATCATTTTCACCTGCTTTGCTCCTTAGTAACTGACAGGAAACCAGTGTGGAAAGCAATCCTTTGTAATCCTCAGGCAAGCTTTAACAAATCATAAATAATATATCACCACAGAAGGAATTGTAATTTAACATGTCATCAACAAAGGAAGTTATTAGTGAGTTATGTACATTCATAGGATTCAGATCAGTTATAGTTTCAGATCAGGTAGGTATTTTAAATTTTGGGTATAACTGTCATTTCTAAGTATATACATTTCAAGTGTTCAATAGATTTAGTGTTCTGGTTTGCGTTACTAAGCATGTTTTATTATTATTATCATCATCATTATTATTATTATTACAAACTACCTTATACCCCAAAGGAAGCGGAATTTTGAGTTGTTTGGCAGTAGTCTCATTGAAGAGTGGCACTTTCAAGTCATCTGCCTCCATTTTCTCATCTGTCAAGTGGGCATAATTAAAGATCATTGTAATGATAGAATGAAGTGGAGGCAAGAGGGTCAGGAGATTCAGGCCAGTGAGTTCTGGCTTAACCTAAACTTGGCTATACAGTAAGACTCTGTTTCAAAAATCAAAATAATTAATGAATATGAGGAAAGGAAGAAACTTAGAATTACAAAGGTACATAAACACAAGCTTCAAACTCTGAGTCTGTAACCCTTGACATTTTACCACCATGTCATTTCGTTACACCACCAGTACTGTTTAGATGATGTTAGTGCCCTGACCAAGAGATTTCTTCCTCCCTTGCTGTCCTAGGGCGAGTTTGTAGATGACGGCACTGAAACACACTTCAGTGTGGGGAACCACGCCTGTTACATAAAAGCCGTCAGCAGCGGGAAGAGAAGAGAGGGGATCATCCACACACTCATTGTGGACAACAGGGAGATCCCAGAGCTTCCCAAGTGACTGCTTGATAATGGGCTCTGAGCCGAAGAGAAGACATCAGGACTTGCTAATGGCTGTGGTAATTAAATGTGTCCACTGTGTACATATCGGTAGACTTTGTCTGCAATATTTTTATTTTTATCTTTTGTTACTTGAAAGTGTAATATTCCAATGGTCAGGAAAAAAATATGTGGAATCTTAAAAGTTATAGTTTTAAATTTTTTATTTCTACTGTATTTGAATACATGCTTGCATGCCACAGTGCATGTGGGGAGGTCAGAGAACAACTATCTGGAGTTTGTTCTCTCGTCCACCATGAGGGCTCTGAAGGTTGAACTTAGGTTGGCAGGCTTGGCAGCAAGCTTCCCATAATTGCTACCCCATACTTCATCTTTTAAGTGATGTAAAAATGTTTTAAGTTTAAGTGGAAAATCGTATAGAAATCTAAATGAAGAATGTTGCACATCAGTAATCTTCACTGGAGTGCACCCTGCTAAATAAAAGCTATGTTGTATCCCATGTGTTTCTACAAATGAACTTGTTTGCATACCTTTTTCCTCCTATGCAAATAGGTTGCCTCTACATTAAAGCAGGTGGTTCATAATGATATATCCAGGGGGTTGTTATTGTTTTGGTTTTTCTAGTCAGGGTTTCTGTGTGTAGCTTTGGAGCCTATCCTGGAACTAGCTCTTATAGACCAGACTGGTCTCGAACTCACAGAGACCTGCTACCTCTTCCTCCTGAGTGCTGGGGAAAAAAAAAGCTTGTGCCACCACCGCCCCGATGTTGTTTTGGTTTTTAAAAACAGGGTTTCCCTGAGTAGCCCTGGTTGTCTTGAAACCTTCTCTGTAGACCAGGCTGGCCTCAAACTCAGAGATCCCCCTGTCTCTGCTTCTTATATGCTGGGGTTAAGGGTGTGTGCCATCACTGCCTGGCTGATATATCCAGTTTAACTGGAAAAGATAACATTTTCTGTCTGAAAACATCACATACTGCCATGTAACAATTTCATTATAAAACTATTCTTCTAAAATTGTCATTGTTTAATTAATACCATGACAAAAATACAAGAAGAAAAATGGCAAGCCTGTTTGTACCTGTTATGTTACCTTTCCTGAGGAAAAAGTAAATACCATTTACCTGATGTAGCATACCAACAGACGATAGGAATGATTCCATCCAAGCTCAGCCTTACAAGTCCAAGAGCTGATTGACATTACCTGCACGACCAGGGTGACTCCAGAGCTGCTGCATCACTGGAGTCCTGCCTCCCTGGCAAACCTGCCCCTTCCTCGGTAAACCAGGAGGCAAGCACGGCTGGAATCTCAAATGAGATTCTTCCGCCTGGCCCCTCATTTCTTCTATGAAGGAATGCTCACCACCACCATTACCAATGCGTAGATCTGGCTCTCACTGCTTGTTTATTGCTTTTATCACCATGACTTCCAACCAAGAGACTGTGTAGGTGCCACAGCCACTTGGTTTCACAATGGCCATGTCTCTCTGTCTCTCTGTCTCTCTCTCTCTGTCTCTCTCTGTCTCTCTCTCTCTCTCTCTCACACACACACACACACACACACACACACACACACACACACACACACACACGCTATACTGCAAAACATGCCAGGCTACATCAGACAGGGTGCATCTTCAGGTGGGGTTTCAAAGTCAGCATTTACCCATCTGTCAGCTCAGCACCAGAGCGGGTGTCCCTGTGACAGAGTTGAGCAATGCCGTAAGTGCTCCAGCATGGTTCGTTTCTCTCCTGATCTTTGCAAGTCTTTTGGGTGTTTGGGAGCTGGAACAAGGGGCTTTGTTCTGGAGTCTCCTCACAGGAGAAGACACTGCTACAGAGAGAGCAGCTCCATGATGCTCTTGGTCACAGGCTTAGGAGTTTCTGAAGAGCAATTATAGGCAGGAATAGCACAGTCTCTACACAGACAAGTGAACAGTAGAAATTAACTGCACCTCTGCCAAGAAGCCCCTGTAAGAGCACTTAGCTTGCTGACAGATGTGCTGAAGTCTGCAGAGCACTGTGTGAGAGCCCAGACGTGAATGGAATGAAACTGGCACACCTCCTTGTATTTTCTATGTATTACTGGGTTGAAGAATCACTCCTTCTTGCTAAGTGAATTGTGTTCATTGCCTGTTTCTCCCAATTTCATGCTCAAACCACTTAGAATTTCAAGTGGAGTCTATGGAATTAAATGTCAGGTACTTTTTGTTGTTGTTGTTGTTGTTTTAAACAATTTCTGTACCAATTTTTAAAATTCTTTCATAGTCCTGTTTAAATGTTCTTAAAATTCAATTTATATGGCTCAAGTGAATCACCCTCTGCCTGTGAAAGTCACATATAGGAGCGTGAGATTCCTCATACACAATTTAACCAATGCAACATTAAACACTTTACAAACACACTTAAGAAGTGGGATCCCTACAGGCGGTGGCGGTGCCTTTGATCCCAGGACTCAGGAAGCAGAGGCATGTGGGTCTCAGTGAGTTTGAGGCCAACCTGGTTTCTTATAGCAAGTTCTAGGCCAGTCAGGACTGCATAGTGAGACCTTTTCTCAAAGTCAAAATAGGTGGCAAAGGAGGAGAAAGGCAAAGGAGGCAAAGGATGAAAAAGATGAGCAAGGAGAAGAAGGAGGAGGAGGAGAAGGGGTGGGGCTTGAGAAAAGGGAATCAGCTGGGGTTCAGGGTGTGGGGGTGTAAAGGAATTGGGGGAGCTAATGAGAAGAAAGTAGGGCATTGGTGTAAAAACGCCATAATAAAACCCATTACTGTGTCCGCTAATTAAAAAGAAAAGGAATCTAGTTAGCAACTCTGGCCACATTCCACTCAGCAGTCACCTGTAGCCAAGTGTGTGGATGCTGCTGCTGCAGACTAGGTCCATCACCACTCCAAGTTCTTCTGGACAGTGCCTGTCCAGACACTGCCTCAGGCTTTGGGGGTTGCTCAGTGGTGCCTAGGAAGGGTTGAAACTCAGCGTTTCCAGACATTACCGCCCACACCACGTAATACTTTAGAGAGAACTAACATCATTCCAAGAGAGACTGAGCAGACATGAGGCAGACACAAGTTCCAACACCAGGAACTGAGGGCCAGGAGACGAGTAAGGGTGATGACTTGAACAGCCTAAGCCAAGGAACCAGCACACATGAAGAAAAGGAGCATGTGAAGAGCATTTACTGCCCGTTTTCTCTAATGTCATTTATTCTGATGTCTTCACAACTGTTGGCTCAAAACACCTTTACCAAAAACCCTTTCTTCTGTGTGTGCATGTATGCATTCATGTGTGTGTGTGCATGTGAGAGTGCGTGTGTGAGAGAGAGAGAGAGTGTGTGTGTGTGTGTGTTGCTGGGCATTCAACCCATGACTTTGTGCATTCAGGACAAGCATATCCCTAGTCCCTACCAAAACTTTTGTGTGTGACAAAGTCTCACAGCACCCAAGTGTTGACAGAAGTTTCTGTCCCACTGAGTCCTGCAGACATTTAATACCAAATAAGCACACGGAAGCTTTTATTAATTATAAACTGTTCGGCCTATTGCTCAGGCTTATTACTGACAATCTCTTAAAACTTCTTATCTATGTTTAGCTACATGGCTTGGTACCTTTTCCCAGTATGGCATTCTTATCTTGCTTCTTCTTCATCTGGCTGGCAACTGGGTCTCTGCCTTTCCTCTTCCCAGAATGCTCTTAGTCTGGTAGCCCCACCATACTGTCTGCCTGGCTACTGGCCAATCAGCATATTATTAAACCAGTACAAGTGACAAATCTTTACAGTGTACAAGAGCATTATCCCACATCACCCAAGATGACCCTGAATTCTTGGATCTCCAACTTTTGCCTCCCTGGGATTACAGAGGTAGAGCACCACACCTGCATCAAAACATTCATAAAAACCATTAGGGCTGTGGAGATGTGGCAGTTAGGAAAAGCATTGGCTTTGCATTCATGGGACCTGTGTTCAATCCCCAAAACCTCACCTTAAAAAAGTCAGTGTGTTAATTAGGCTTCTCTAAAGGAACAGAATTGATTGAGTGTGTGTGTGAGAGTGTGTGTGTGTGTTTGTATGTGTGAGAGAGAGTGTGTATGTGTTTGTGTGAGTGTGTGTGTGAGAGTGTGTGTGTTTGTATGTGTGTGAGAGAGTATGTGTGTATGTGTGAGAGTGAGTGTGTGTGTATCTGTGTGTATGAGTGAGTGTGTGTGTATGAGTGTGTGTGTGTGAGAGTGAGTGTGTATTTGTGCACGTGCGCGCGCATGTGATTCATCAGACTGTTTCACAGGATGTGATCTGGGTGGTCTAGCAATGACCGACAATGAAAAGACTTAGAATTCCACCGTTGTCTGGGCCACAAAGCTGGATGTCTCGGCTTCCTCAATTGGACACTAGAGTCTGGGAGGGTTCCTGGAGAGCTGGTGGTCTTCAGTCTGTGAGAGCATGGAGAATCGCAGGAGCAGGATAGATGAACTTGCCAGAGAACATGAGGGCAGCAAGAAAAAGCTAAGTTTCTTTCTTTCATGTCCTACTTGTATGTGGGCTGCAACCAGAAGATGTGGCCCAGATTTAGGGTGGGTCTTCCTGCTTCAAATAATCTGATTAAGAAAATCCCTCAGGCTGGAGGCATGGCACATCTGGAAGAGAACTAGCTGCTCTTCCAAAGGTCCTGAGTTCAATTCCCAACCAACACATGGTGGTTCACAACCATCTGTAATGGGATCTGATGGCCCCTTCTGGTGTTTATGAAAGCAGCACTCATGCAAAAAAAAAAAAAAAAAAAAAAAAAAAGAATTTAATTAATTAATTAAAAAAGTCAGGGGGCTGGAGAGATGGCTTAGAGGTTAAGAGCACTGACTGCTTTTCCAGAGGACCCAGGTTCTATTCCCAGCACCTACATGACAGCTAACAATCAAAACTCCAATATCTGACACCCTCACACAGACATAAATGCAGGTGAAATACCAATGCACATTAAAAAAAAAAATTGAGTGGGGCATTGGTGGCGCACGCCTTTAATCCAGCACTCGAGAGGCAGAGGCAGGCAGATCTCTGTGAATTTTAGGCCAGCCTGGTCTACAGAGTTCCAGGATAGGCTCCAAAACTACA